ATTAAAATAACCAAATTTTACTTTTATCTCACTAGACAATTTGTTAGTTTTTATATTATAATTTTTTTGTTATCTACCAAATTGACTCAGTTTAAAAGACTGATTTAACAAATGCCACAACACTGTCGATTCAAACCTTTTTTAATTATAATTTAAGTTTACAAATTAAACTTTATGAAAAATATTAATATCATATATGATGAGATACAAGTTAGAGTATCTCACCATTGGAGAGTGCTGAGACATTATCTTTTAAAATTTCATATATAGATCATTACACCCATCGACCTAGCTCGCGTAAGAAAATAGTTACATGACATCACCTACATCACGAAGTTGTCGTCTAGGGAATAAAATTGTTTGTTGGTTTGAGTAATTTTAATTTTTGAGGTAAAATGTTCTATAAAGAAATTAAATCAATGTTTTGGATACAAGATTGGCCAGAAAAACAAACCAGGAATGAACCACAATGAATTGCCAGTACTTTCGGCACGAGTAAACAACAATCTGGTTTGCATTTAGCATTAAGTCGGAAGGATACATGATCCACATTTAGATCCCTTCCGGAGAACCAATGTAGCCATGTTGTAAACACAGCGATGAATACTCTTGAAATGATGTCAGAAAAGAAGTCTTGTTGCCAATGCAGCGGTGAATGATCTTTTAGATGAGTTTGTGAGTTGACCTAACGTCCATTGAGTTTTTTTTCATATGGGTTTAATCTTATGTGTACTATTGATTAGAAATTACATAATTCATTAATTGTGTATGGCTGAAAGAAGGTTTGAGGACATTGAAGAGGACGAAATGGTTTTGTCTAGACACTGACTGGACCACCATGTCTCAAACTTGTGAATCACTCACGCAATACCAACAAATCTATTTCAGATTAAAAAATTCTATTTTAGATAGGAATTAAAAACCCCAACAAAACCTTTCCACTCATATGCTAAAAAGCGTTCCACTCTTACGTTATATTCTGCTTTAAACACTGAAATAGACTGTGTAAATTCATGGAACCAGCATAAACTAACTAAAAAAAAAAAAAATCTAGAAGCGTAGGTTATGATCAGGAGATTGATGAGGAAGAGACCAAATCAGAATGTGTTTCATGTTTCTTAAGAAAATATGTCTATGACATGGAAAAATCCATATTGAGTTTAAATCCATATAGGCACGTGCCTAGCATTTTTGGGCTCTAGGTGATATTTAATAACGTTGTCTTATTTAAATTTAAAAGATATATTATACTATAAGATATAGTTTTTAAAGTATATTCAATGCAGTCATAAATTATAGAAAAATTTACTAAAAATTCACAATTTGAGTTTGTAACTATAAAATTATCACAAATGAGTTTTGAGTTACAAATTAGTCACTTAACAAAATTTTAGAACAAAATGTATTTACTTTTTGTATGCTCCAATATAATTAATGTTCAACATTAAATGTTTCTACTTTATGTCATATCTGAAAAATACGTACACTATCGTGTGTTTCATGTACGTACAATATCAAATACATGCATTAAATATTTCGACTTTGTGTCATATATGAGAACACACGTACACTACTATCGTGTGCTTCAATGTACACACTATCAAATACGAAACTCTATCATCTATAATTGAAAATACAAGAATAGTAAACAATATGCACATACAAAAATCATACACATTCAAAGTACAATAGATATTTACA